ACAAAATAGTCATTCACATATAATAATTTATACATTCATTCACCTCATGCACCTCATGCACATATATTATAACACTCCCCCTTGAATGACTATTTTCTAAATAGAATTTAACTGATTTGGGTAAAGCTCAATCCGAACATCTTGAATTGTATCTTGTGTCCATCAAATACCGTTGCTTCATCATATCAGGAAAAAAACCCGGTGGGAAAAAACCTGATCATTTTGGAATCATAACATTATTCCCTCAGGAAAATCAGTGAGACAAAACCTGAGCATTGTGGAAGCATAACATTGCTCCCCCTCAAATAGATCATCTTTAGTGGAGTATCCACTTGCTGCCTCATTGAAACCTTGTCAAGAAAACCCAGTGGAAAAAAACCTGATCGAAGGAAAAAGAGTACAGCTACCCCGATGTCTTCTTATCATTATAAGGAATTATATCAATTATCCATTAGTCCTCATTATACCATGAATATGCCTCGTTAAAACCTTATTAGGAAAAACCCAATGGGACAAAATCCTAATGAAGGAAAAAGAGTACACTATTCATGTGAATACGTCATCCCTGTTGCCTCATTAAAAACCTTGTTGGAAAAACCCAATGGGACAAAACCTCAGTCAAGGGAAAAAGAGTACAACGCGTATTCCATATATTCACCATAACAATATTTTCATGATTATCACAATATCAACGCTTCCAGCGTATTATTCGATCATCATAATGTTTCACATATTTCATCTCCATCGTTATCATTATGTTTATTTGCACACTTCTAGTGTGATACACATATCATTTACAAAATTTCAATCATTGTTTCTCCCCCTCGTCTTAGTAAATCTCTAATGTGTATTTTCAATATTGAATTTCTTGAGAGAAGTTCATATATTATCCGTTTCGTTCTCGATTTCAATATATATATATAATAGGAGAACTTTGAACTCATATTACTTGTAATGTGCACATTTTTCTTTCAAGTGTTCATCGTATCAGTAGATATATTACTAGCTTTATTACTTGCATATGACACTTATTTTTATTATTTCATAATTATCTCATAACTTCAGGTTACGTGTCATATGCATATTCATTGCTCAAAACATCTTGTAACTTTAGGTTAGGAATCATATAATCATGTGGCTATCTAGTGGATCAATAATATCTAGTAGCACACATGTAGAGGTAGTGGGTCCATATATCGCACCCTTTTTCTTAATGATTCACAAATATTTAGCTAGTAATAATTTTCACCAATTGAGAACAAAACATCACATAACATAAATCATGCAAACCATTATCATTAATATCAGTAAACATCACAACAATTCATATTTATCACAAACATATCACATCATCTTTCGGCGGCAATAAATGTACTTCTAGTGCACCCAATATTTAAATTCAGAATCACATGCGTATCATGCCTTCTGACATACAGACTTTTAAGCTCTGTTTTTAGAGTCGTATCGCATACGCATCATTTCTATAAATTATCAGGTAAATCATTCAATCTTCCTTAACAAAGGTCCGAATTTACAAATGGATTTAGCACTCTCAAATATCCGTAAAAATTATTCTTTTCTCCCAATAAATATCATAAAAAGGATTTATCAATCTAGATTAGAAAGATTGAGGGTGCTAATGATTAATAATATTCCAAGTGATATTCGATGGTTAATTGAAGCAAAAGTTCGATTGTCTGGAGAGTTTCCAAATTCATATAAATATATGCTAGGTATGGGTAAAAGTACTTTTGCAAAGAAACGAAGAGCAAAAAGATTAGGTGGATGCTTCAAATGCGCTCGATGGACTTGTGACACACGATGTAATTCTGTGAGGTTCGTGCCTAAAAATCGAGAAGATAAAATATCATTTATAAAAGATGGATTGAGTAAAGAATCTATGGATCAAACGATTCAACAGATTCTTGAGACACATCCGAGAGGTTATGTGCATCGTGGGTGTCCTTATGGATTCGTTTCAAAAATGAAGAAGAACTTTACAGTATCGAAAATATTGTTTCAAAAGATCAAGTTTGTAAAAATTGTTCTTGCTAGTATGAAAAATACAGTTTAGTATGTTGTACTGTAATTTTCAGAAAATCTTGTAGCTGCCGACAGATAAGATTCATTGAAGACTTAACGCCTTATCTGTCGGTTATCATTTTGTGAAACATCCCTTTTAAATAACGAGTCATTCATCATAATCATATATCTCACAAAATTTAGTTTATCGATAAATAGATGGATGTTTCAGAGTCTTCTCAGGGTAATAAATTTCTTCATCCAATCAAAACCATGTGTGATCTTGGTGGTTCTAAACTGGTAAATTTTTCTCAAAATATTGATATTGTAAGTCAACTAGTAAGGGAGATGGGGAATCGAAAAATCAATTTATTGTATGGAGGAACTAGCATCACTTTCTTTGATAACCTTTTAATGGCTGGAAAATGTTTTGATATAGAAGTGAAAAGTATCATACCTTTTCAAAAAGCTTCAACAAGGGTCGTCAAAGATTCCACGAGTTTGATGCTAACTCATTCTATTTATGACTGTATGATGGATATGATGAACAATAGTGATGCTTTCATCATTCTTCCAGGCGGTTATGGAACTTTAATGACAATGTTTACCATTGCTTCTTGGGCAAAATTGAAACTTCTTAATAAGCCCATAGGTCTATTGAATTTTAATAACTATTTTCATGGTTTGCTTGGATTATTAGACGAAGGAGTATATCAAACCTTCATATCTCCTTTAACGAGAGAAGTATTCAAATCTGCAGACACGTCTACTGAGCTTATCAAAAAGCTTCAAGAATGCATCACATTTCAAGATCTGTGAAAACACAAGGGATCAAGCGAAAAAGAGCTTTTGATCCTTTAGATCTTTCATTATGAACCCAAATAATAATCATGGGTGGCAGAGTTACGGAGTTTTATACTCTCGAGACGCACCCTTCTTATATGCGTTCTATTATGTAATATTTTTCACATATTTATTGAGGATTCACAACCTCTTATTTATATTTCTATCATATGATCCTTATGTATTTGTTCTTCAGTAATAATAATATTTTTAGTTTCTTTGGTATCTTTACAAATACTCCTTCTAGGAGATTCTCAATATTCAAGTCGAGATAATACTCTTTCATATTTAACCAAGAGTTTCATTATAACTCCGTCTATAAGCATGAGCTAACATATTTAATCTTTTACATAGTGTTCACCACATAATCTATTTAACCGAGATGATCATTTTGTATATTATACACAAGGTTCTACCTTGAATTTCGTACTTTACTTCTTCCGGAAGAATTTTGTTGGTTGTACCACATCTTACCAACAACTTTATATAATTAAATGATTTAATTATCTTTCATCTCAGGTACTCGAGTCCATCCAGGACTTTCACATATGACTCAATGGTCATGGTAATGTTGCTGCCATAAATATTAACTTGCGGAATAATTGATACTGAGAGAAATTTTATAAAATTTTGGGTCTCTGCGTAAACCCATAATCTCGCTATATTTACATCATACCACCATATCACATATAAGTAATCATTATCCTTCTGGAATATACTATCCTTCTGGGATATATCGTGTATCGAGTGAAAACTCTCCTTTATTTTTCTTTCTATCTCAATCAATCTAAGCGCTTGCAGCACTTCCGGATCATTATTTGAGATAGTAAAGAAATCACATAGGCAATTATGTTGTTGACAACTATGATATTCAATTTATATTCTCTCAACCATATGTGCAACTTCATATTTAGTAGCCGTATTTATAATTACTTCCCTTAACATTTAATTTTGGTTGTTCCACATTTCCAGTACTATAATGATTTGATGCACGTGCAAGATGTACTGGATCAACTCTTCAGGAATTTCTTTATAAAGGAGTATTAAATCTTGAATATATATTTTTTGCGACTTTCATTCATCATATATTATATCACCTTATGCTTCTAGCATTAAGAAATTAATCATTCCCTATGGATTTTGCTTACTTTGTGGTACATTTAGATATATACAAATTACTCACTCCATTATTACTACATATTATATTTCTGCAATTTCAATTTTTATTGTGTGGTTTCAAATAATGAAAACATTAATATTTCAAATATTTTACGGCATTAATAAATTTGTGCTCATATCTCCCCCTAATGCCGTTAAATCATCTTCGCACAACACGTACCAAATAATAAATTTGCCCCTTATAATGGCCTCTAGGTATTAAAAATCTGACGAAGTATAAAAATCATAGCATACCTAGTTCATAATATTGGCCCATAAAGGTACGAATTGGTGGTGATATAAGATTGTGCATAATAGTAAATCGTAGATAGAAAATGTTCAATTCTCCATGCACCATTTTGGGGAAAATTATGATAAATAATTGCTCAACATAATTCAACTGCTCATGCTAATTATCAAATATATAAGTTGAGCATCAAAGTATTAATTTGTAAGTGAACACTATATGCTTTAGACACTACAATTGAACTTTGTTTGTGAGCCTTTTATTGTAGCTATCAACAATATTATGTGCTTCTGGAACTAATACCATCAAATGTGCTTCTGGCACTAATTTTCTATCATAAAAAAATTAATGGTTGGTACTTTATTTAAAACTAAATTATCTTTCCACCGATGGAGAACATTTCAATAATTTTGTTCATTTATCAACCTTTAGGCCCACAAAGATATATTATCATTGACTAAAGACTAATGACAGTTGTACCATGAACTACCTCCATTATTAATGATAATCTTTTGGTTAATTATTGTGATTACGATTGCATGACCACTTGTGTATACGATTCCTTATTTGTTATCAGACTTTGATTTTGTAATGATAAATTTCATACTTTAACTCCTTCCCCTTTATCAAAAGATCTGCAAAGTAATATAGTGTTGATTATGTACATATACCTGCATCTCAAGCGCGGCTGTGTAATCATACGGCTCCCTCTTTCTTGAAGAGGTTATGCCTACGAACAAGAGTACCAAGGCAGGCCCATGTTATGTTGATGTTTGAGCCTTCCACCAATACTAACCACCTCATCAAGAACCTCCCTCGCGGCCTTCAGATACTTTGAGCTCAAGAACACGTCGTTCGTGATCCTGGATTCTGACGATGGGTCCGCCATCGGAGCTCTAGTGCTGTCGTCCCCTCCGGAGAGTGATGGCTGAGAGAGAGTCCTATGGGAGATCGACTGGGAGGCCGTATAGGCTTTATTGGAGGTGCGGCGGGATTAAGCCATGGAAGCCGATTTCCGAGGAGTTGCCGGGAAAATAGTTGGCCATTTATTGTTGATATAATATTGGAGAGGATAAATTGTGTAGCTATAAGAGGCAGCTCGACATGAGGCTCAAAAATAAAGTAATACATTAATAATCTGATTTCTGATACAGAAGATCGTCTATAAGACGCAACTGTAAAACATACTCTCGTCATATTATATATCGAGCTCTATAGGGCAGAAACTCGTGCTGATAACGAGTTATAAAATAGAGAGAAATACAGAGAATATAGAGAATGTTTTCTCTTGATTGTTTTTTCATTATAAATAAAGCTCTTATTTATAGGAGAACTTCTAATGGCACAATCGTAATAATACAATTACATCAAGGACAAATAGTCATTCACATATAATATTTTATACATTCATTCACCTCATGCACCTCATGCACATATATTATAACACTAACAACCCCTTTTTGAGATACAATTGCATTTCTAATCATCTATAAAGAATAACAAGACATTTGTGATGTCCATTATAGTTACTCTGAAACATGAAGAACTGAACGAGTGCTAATTCACCTTATCAACTAGAAAGAAAGCCTAACATTTTTTGGCGAAACATTACAACAATATTTTGGGGGAAAAGAAAAATCAGTCACATCCTCCTCCACAAAAACCAGAAGCAAGTCTATCGTTGCTGTAAGACATATTTATACCACAAAAACGGTAAAGAAAAAGGATATGAACGAGGACGAAATAAGTAATAAACTGGATTTCCCATGAATGAAAACTGGGGAAATCCCACTCTTTCACTGACTACAATAAATTGTGAGCCTGTCTTAGGTATGTGTAATAAAAACCACTGGGACGATGTTGTGTTTAGAGCTTAGAATAGAATCGTCTTAAAAATTAAGAGAACAAGCATAACAAAACACATGATAACGAGAATAGTCGCGCACATAACCATCCCACCTTGTTTTTGACTTTTGTCCGCCTGCAATTACAGATCAATTAAAAAAGCAATCAACCGAAAGCACAAAGTACATAATTCTCACAGGGAAAATGTACAGAAGAGGGGCGAAATTCAAGTACCTTCTGAAGCTGTTTCAGGCCATCTTCAACTGAGGCTGCAACATTTGTTATATTGTAATCGATCCTATCGACAATAGTACCCTGCATGGAGAGAACAAAATTAAAATACAAAATATATTGCAAGAGTAACTATAGCAAGTGGGATATAGCATCTGACCTGATCAATCACCAAAACTGATAAATCCTTCATAATTTGTGCGAGTTCATTGACTGATTCCACCACCTAGTATCAATAAAATACCAATTATAAATCTAGGTATTTTGCATAGTACAGAAACAACTAAAACTTCAAAGAACCTGCTGAATTTCCCGCTCCCTTTCAGCTGTGAATGCCTCACTTTTCTTTAGTTTGGCCATTTGATGTTCACTGAATCCCTATACAGAATAATTGCAACATACTCAAGGTTACATGATGCATCCATGACATAAACCAACAAGGTCGTATCACAAGGTTATACAGAAAAAGAGAGAATCAGCCTATAGCAATATTCAAGCTTCCATGTTAGTCGCATATGTAAAAGCTGACATTACATTAAGACCCAATTCTTATATGGCCTATCCCAAAGACCAGTTCACCATCCATATCCTCAGACTCAGATTTATGTATTACGATTAATTTGACCATGATGCTAATTCAGTCCAAGAGAGAGACTACAGCCTAAATACCAATTGCAAAGTAATCATCTTTATCGTGGTAACTATATCTAGAAAGCAGTGGACCAAGTTAAATTACATATAATGTAAATTAGATTTTTCTTTTTTTCTTTTTTTTTTTTTCAAAATAAGACAGATTAAAGAAATAAAGAAAGAAAAAAAAAAAGATGAAATTGTATCTTTTGTGGTTGCTCCTTAAGAGTTAAGACTACTCACGCCAGGTCTAAAAAGTCTTTTGCTAGCAACTCTGGTTCACTATAACCACAAACTTTGAATGCGTGGATGCATCACTACAGGAAACATATGTACGGAAGGGTCTGGTTTAAAACAGGTGAATGTAAATGAAGCTCAACCCACTTACCATGTCATTCAAATCATCTTCATCCCTTCTAGACTTGTTCCCATTTAAGTTCATTTCCAAGTCCACACCATCAGGCCCCTTTAAAAAATGGCACGATGTTAAACTTTGTACAGTATAATAATCATTGTAATATGATATCACTAGCTGCTGTCAATCACCAAGATGGCAGCTTTAGGCAGTTCAGATATTGTAACTTCAAAAGAAATACTTCCTGTTAAATGAATAAAGCATTTAAAGGGCCGAAACATAAACTTGACATGCAGTATGGATAAAATTACTATCCGTACCTCTTTTTGCTGCCGAAGACGTTTCAAATATGTGGACTGTTTCCTACGTAACTCCAGTGACAAGGTCTGAAGGTCGGTAGCTAACGATCTCTGTCGAATATATATTGTTTCTCTTAAAACAATGTTGCACATAAAAGTTGTTCACCACATATCAAATGTGAAAAATTCACATAACGATATGCAGCTCTCTTATTTCAGCATAAATATATGCAGCTTCTTATTTCAGAATAAATATATGCATCCGGAAAAAAGAAGTGTTTTAGTTTGTGAGTGCAAACACAATTAATTCTAGTAGTCCTATAAAAGTCATGAAACAAAAGATTACCGTAATTAGTCATTGTCAATCATGTATAGATCAGAAAGCAGATGATTATCAGGCTATACCTGGACATTTTTCCTAATATTAGAATCCTCCGAGGGGCCAGCAGCAGAGAGTCTTTGCAATCTCCTCTCTGATTTTCTTAATAAATCAGTTATCTCTTGAGTAAGAGCCTCAATCCGGCGTTGATCTTCTTTACCATCTCCAAACGAGGGCATCAAAGCCTTAGCATGGGCCTTTGCCAGCTCCGTCATCTTTCCCCTCACAAGTTGTATGTTAGCTGCAATTTCTTCAGATAAATCCACCCAAGCAGGTGGTAAACCTACTGCAACTGTACCCATACTGCAACAACAAGAGACTAGAATTAGTAGAAAATCTCTGGATTAGATGATAAATGAAAAGTGGGAACGAAATCAGTTGAGGCAATTTTATACATCATTTTCTTTTTTGCTTCAGTTTCTAGTGAGTGCTTCAATTTGTCTGTTTTAGTATTGAAGAAACAGTGCTCCAACCAATACACTCGTGTTGGGCCATGGCCCATAGTTGGATTACAGATCCTAAGAGATGTACCATTTAATAAGATCGCTACTTCTGTCAACAATAGCTTTTCAAGGGCCCCAGGCTATTGAAGACTAATAGTTTGATCAAATTGCAGTTGAAATTGCAGAATAGATTACTGAATGAGAGAAATGAAAATAATATTTCATGATGAACGAAACAACGTTTGATTTCTATTTTGCATTTTTCACTTGCAACACCATTTTCCTAACAAAAATATGAGAAAGCAGCCCATCTCTTCTTCAGCGTATTGACCACTTTATAAGTGCATCTGATACATATCATACCCGTGGGTTAGTTGTATATATAACATGTGAATGTGAGTACCCAACACCATGGGATCACTTTCACGGATACAGGTTCGTTACTGTTGCTGCTCTTTGAGTACCCAACACTGTGGGATCATTTTCACGGATATAGGTTCGTTACTGTTGCTGCTCCTAAAACCAGGAGAGAGTACTTATTATCCACTTCTAATGCTTACATTGTAAGACAATTAAATGCTTTAAAGGTTTATCAGAATACAAGAATGTGTTAATAGTTCATGTGTTTCCATATTTGCAAATCTCATAAATCACTTCATGTCTATCTCGGTCTGCATTAGCGGTCAACAGAAAATATAACCCTCTAAACTATGCCATGCCTTCTTAT